AAGCAGGGTGCGACCTAAAAGACCGTCCCTGTGTGCAGCACATTCGAGGGCATTTAGAGGATTCGCGCTTGAAATCACTACTTTTTTTGAATTCTCGAATCCCTCGAGGGCGCGTAGAACTGCGATCAAGTCGGCTGTACGGCTTCAATTTTTTAATTCGTCAATAATGAGAGAGACTCAAGAGGGGTGAGAGATTTGCACGGCAACTCCGTAAGGGCTAATCTAGTTTTGCTGCGCGCGGCAAGCCACGGTTTGGTAGTATACAGCTACGGCGCTATCGCAAGATACAGGGGTATTATTGGTGGTAATGAATTAGAAACTGCGTAGAACATCTAGTTTTTGTTCAGAAAGGTACTACGCCCTAGGCAAGGAGGGTGAGAGATTTTAGATTCGTAAGCGATTCAATATTCCTCTAAACCCTGACCCTCCTAGGCTTATGGTTCCCAGAAGTTGCCCACCAAATCTTGCGATAGCGCCCAGTGGAACATTGTCGTCTTCCTTCAGGAAGGCACGCTTGGACTGAAAATAATGTATTTTTGGCCTAACAACATGTTATCTCGCTTTTTTCAGCGGTACGTGGTCGAGATCTGTGATCAGCTCAAAGGCGACATTTTCCAGAAATTTCTCGAAAGGTCAGTATGTTTGTTGTGAATCGACTATCGCTATTTCTAAATCTTTCGTCTTTATTGGCGCGTTCGCGAGGAAGTTGATGGGGTTTTTCTATGCTTGCACGGGTTCAGTTAATGGGTGGCGCGAAAATTGCATCATTGGCATTCACAATGGCGCCGGCTTCTGCAGTGAAATCAACATTAGGAGGTGTCCCGGGTTTTCACGGCGGAACAGCAAAGTCCCGACAAAATTGTAATTCAGCCTCAAATCCCAAAAACAAGTGCGCTATCACTTTTGCGGGCGAACGCTCTTTTTTCTTCTTCTTAACTTTTCTTGCTTTCCAATGGTTTTCTAAGGAGTTTTTTTTTGAAAAAAAAACAATATTTTTTTTCATTTGAGCAATTGAGCTCAGCAATTTCGAATTTCGTCATACAGTTAGCGCGCACTGGTCAGGTGAATTGTTTGACCGAAGTTATTTGTGAGCTTTGCAGGGCTCTGCGCTTGAATGGCGTGTATTTTGTTTCGAACTGGGCAGCGAATGCGAAAGAACTTCCCATAGAAATAATAACAAAAACACCTTGAAGAAAACAGTCTGTAATTTTTCTTAAGAGGTCTGCTCCGGTATGAGTGGAGAGACTCAGCGCTGCGTGGGGAGGGAAAGTTGCGCATTGACAAGGATGGCAGCGGTCGCAGCGGTTGCAGCGGCCAAGCAAAGGCATTAGCTCCATTGTGGCGCACTGTCAAGTCGCACAGTGTCACTAAACCAGGGGCCCTGGAGCCCTACTACCTTGTTCTCGCTCAAGGAAAGATTTCTGCGAAGAAGAATTTCACACAAGGTTTAGGTCGAGGAAAGGGAAATACACCAAGTCGAAAGGCAGGGACATTCCCCACCTCTTTGAACGAACGAGCGCGTTTGTAGAGTATATATGAGTGTGAGTATTCTCAGGTGCCCTAGCACGGTCGTATCCGCAACGCCGCGTCACGCCCACTCTCTCGCCGTCTGACTCTGGCCTTTTAGCAAGCTGATGGTTAGCGTTGAAAAAAAGGACGAACAGCATCGATGAGAGGCACCAGTACAGAAACCAACAGGCAGGGAACGGTTCCAACTTCTGGGTGTTTTGGCCGGTTTTCATGGTGTTTTCTTCACCCCTGCATCGCCGACCACCTCTACATTTACTTTTTTAAGTGCGTAGTCCTCGCCGTTCGAGGATGCATAATCGGCAACATTCCAGAAGCCCTGCCATCATTCCGCATTGGCCTCAAGGTGCGGATAGAGGCATCTTCTGAGAATTAGCCAACAGAAAAGATGGAAACGGATTAGTCGCTCCGGAAAACGACAAATGTGCCGTGTTGTTTTGGATGTTCCCTTTCGATCAGTTAGACCAGATCGCATTCAAATTGCCACTACGACTCTAAATGGAAGTAGGATGCGCGGCGCATCCCAAAACAGAATTGCAGCGCCGAAAGCATTATCATTTGCCTTTCCTACTCCTGAAATTTACAATTCCCGAGCAGATGAGATAGTCTGCCGGCGTCTCCAGCTATAGCTGCTGGGACGGGAAAGGACAACCGTACGCGGATGCTCACTTGAAAAGGTTGCAAACCACCTTTACTCTGGGAATGCATACACTCGGAGATATTACGTAGAGAACGTGGAGGCAGAAACCGAAAACTGCACAACTGGATCTTCAAGTAATTGCAAGCATTCCTTTATTGAAAGTAGAGGTAGCGCTTTTTTGAACGGGTCGAGGGCTAGGTGAAGTCCAAACCTCTCCATAATTACGCTGCCCTTCAAATGAATCAGTCCCATATTGTTTCTGTTTAGTGACAAATTCACAACGATTCCTGCCAGTGGAAAAATCTCGAGTCTGAACAGCATGGCAACTAACGGAGGAACGACTTCTCCGTGCATCGAATCATCGGTCGAGGCGGGTTCGGTGAGGTGTACGGTTGCCGGAAAGCGGACACCGGCAAGATGTGAGTCATTTTCAACTGTTTTCCTTAAGCGGTATATTCAAGTGGCTTCAAAAGACGCTTGAAATCACTAATTTTTTAACCAACGTAATGCGGGCTGGCTAAGAAACTTTTTGACCACTGAGCAGCGAATCGCACGGCTGGACGCAAAGTCTGGCACCTCCTCAAGAGGCCCGTTTTCTGGCTGAAAGTGAAGGTCATTTCCAGTATCATGCCTGTTCGGAATTCGTTTTGTGCTAGCCGGATATGGTCCAGTCAGCCAAAATCTATGGCATTTCTATGAATGATAAGATACCCCGCCTTGTTCCCAACCTGCCTTCGAGTCATGATAAAACGAGGCCAGAGGCCTTACGCTATCCTTCCCCCAGGAGGACGCGTCCCCGCCGCTGATTCTATCCTCAGCTTGGGGAGACAGGGTTGCGTCATAGGACCCGCCATTGAACGCGTGATGTTGTACCTCCCCTGTTGAGGCACTCTTTTCTCTGAGGGGTCGCGCTGTCTGGAGTCTAGAAACGCAGAGTATGGCTGGTCCTATGACGCAACCCTGTCTCCCCCAACCACAGGATAGGATCAGCGACGGGTCGCGTTCTCCTGGGGGAAGGATAGGATACGGCCCCAGGAAGATGGCCATCTTTCCACCTAATGAGGAAGTTTTCGTAGCATATCAAATCGCTGTAGCATCTGCAATCAATGCAAATAGTTACCTGAGGACCACCAGTAAAGATCGGCACGGACAGATTTTCGAAATGTCCATTTTTAAGAGTAAACATTCAGGTATGCGATGAAGTGCCTGGATAAGAAGAGGATAAAGATGAAACAGGGCGAGACGTTGGCCCTCAACGAACGGATCATGCTCAGCCTCGTCTCCACAGGGGTGAGTTGACGCTATTTGGCTTCTTTTTATCACAGCACGAAAAGATACGGAAAATTAAAAAGAAAACATTGGAAAGAATTCACAGATCTATTCTAACAAAAGTGCGAGGGGGGGGGGGAATCGCGGAGTAGAAAGGTTTTTTGAACCTCAAAAAATATCCTATTAAGGATATTATAACGTTCAGGAAAAGTAATGCACCTTACTCACCTAGTTCACCTAGTTCCTTTTTTCATCAATGAACTGGTTCACCCATCTTAGAGATCCCCTCCTCCGAAACTGTGATCACTACAGTCGACATGAACCATTACACTGAAATGCCTCTCTCCCCTCCTTTCCC